CTAGTGTAAGCATAGTTATTTGTTTCATAAGTACGAAAAAAGCACGTTTTCGGGACGAGGAAGGGTGTTCCAAGTTACGAATACGCATTTTTCGTACGAATGAAACAACATACATTCCAGGACTTACTTTTGCCTGAAAATGCTACTATGAATGTCAGGAACCAACTTATAGCCCACTACAGAAGGATTAGAGGTTTTTTCCAGGCACTGTATACCGAGCGCGATGTAAACCGCAGAAATACTCATGAAATTGTACTAAAATTTAAGTACTTTGGAGGCACCACATTAACTCTGAATAAAAGCAACAGAAGAAAGCTACAAAACCTAATCATCGCTGAGTACTTTCAAAGGACTTCCGACAAATGCTTAAGTAATCACTGGACCGAGAACGCTACTAACTGGTCATCATTTTTCAACTGCTGTATGTACATCTGGTTCAATGGCAGAAATTAGCTGGCGGTTTGCGAAAAACAGATTAGCAGATCCGACCTATCTGCTCAAAGCAAACATCAGGGTTACTGAGAACTGCCAGGTTTGCGAAAAGATCACAGCTAACGTTTGGCATATGATAATAGAATGTCCTTTAGCCAAAGAAATTTGGGGCCTTGTTATCGCATGGGCAAGTAACATCTGGCAAGGTAGAAGACTATCACTAGTTGACGCGCGTTATGTGGAGTAAAAGAGAACAACCGCAGTGATATTTTAATCAATTTTCTAACTAATTCTGCAAAGTTTTATATATATGTTCAATTAATCACCGCCATGAAAAACGACACGCATCCAACGTCCCGTCGGGATGGCTACCTAAAGGGCATTAAAAGCAAAATCTTAATAACTTTCTCGTGGCATAAAGGCATGAATAAAATGGACAGTTTTAAAGATCAGTGGTGCATTGGCGAAGTGCTTTGCAGTGTTAATCGGAGCGGAGAGTTAAAGTGGGGCAGAGTGTTGGATTTGTTAACACGTAAATAGTAACGTTCTGTATATAGGAAAAAAAAAATTTTAGGTTAGGTTCAACCCCTCGTTGGGTTTATTTGTAGTAGACACAACGTTTTAATAAAATAATAATAATAATAATAATAACATTTTTCTCCAATCACTAGATATAAGCACTGTGAGAAGTTCCCATATTAGTTAATCGTACATGAAGCGAATTGCGAAGTGACTTTTCGTATGTACCGTGAAGTTTTAGTTTTTCCTGTGTTAGAAGGAATGTTCACTTTTGATTCAAAAAGTTTAATTTGAACTGCTACTCCGATCAATAGTTCCAGGGAAAACTCGATTTAAATGGATTTGCAGAGCCGTTTTAAATGTTTATTAAGTAGGCGATGAAGTTGAAATAATTGAGAGCTTATGTCAGAAAAGAACATCTGACATAGATGCAATAAGTGCACAAGCAATGAAGCGAATTTGTGAGTGTGTGTTAATTTTGTGGTAAATTCAAAAACAATGTCGGTTTACCGTTTACACTATAGCGCAAAGGGTGGAAATTGTTTAGATTTTCTTTTAAATGGCGATTCTGCCTTCACAAATTCGCTACCTTGCTTGTGCACGTATTGCACTTACGTCAGATGTTCAACGCCTACTTAATAAACATTTAAAACGGCTGTGCAAATCCATTTAAATCGAGTTTTCTCTGGAACTACTGATCGGATTTGAAAAATAACAACAGTTCTGAAAACAAAAAGAACATTCCTTTCGACCTATCTTAACATTTTTACTACCCCTTCCCATTTAAAATTTTTGGGATGCAATTCACCCCCTCCTCAGGGTTAAAGTTATGTAAGTAGTATTACTTAATTTAGGTGCCCCTCTCAAAACTAAAATTGACGTGTTCGAGCGTTTCTGGCAAAACTGTCGTTAAGTGGGCAAAATTGGAATTGACTGTATATAAGAGATGGGAAGGGAATACTTTTGAATGGTGTCTCGGTTTATGGCAACGGTAGTTTGAAGGGTGCCTCAATATACGCTAATGGAACTTCTTGTGTGGAATTTGAAATCAGAAATCTCACTTTGTATTACAGGTGTAGTTCCTCTTGCGTATTTTAAAAAACTTGTGGACTAATGTAAAAATAGACATAGACGGTTTTTGTTAAAGTGGCATCCCAAGTCAATGACAACTATTTGTAATTTTTTTATTGGTTAACATTCATCTTTAAGGTCAAATTATTTTTTGTACTAGTCCGAAAAGTACCTACTTTTTGGACTGTTACCATGGTGATACCGACGACTCCCGAAATCGCCTATTTTTTGTACCAAAAAGTGTGACAAAATAGTGTCTTATTCAAGTGATTGGAGAAAAAATTAATTATTGACCTAGTTACTAAACAAATAGTGTCAGTTAATTATCTACATTGAAAGGTTCCACCCTGTATATACAACTTACGACGATACATATATTTTGGAGAGTTGGCAACCATGCAATTTCTAGGTGGGGAAAAAGCTGCCTGCGCCACCTAGAAAGCACGAACGGAGGCGGTAGTGAACGCATCGTTCCAGAAGTTTTTGTTGTTATTTTGTGTTATTTAACGCAGGTAGTAATTTTTGCAATTCTTTATATCGTATTTGTGTTTTGTATGCCGCATTTTATATTTTTTGTGTGTTTCAATCTTTGTTTTAGAAATTTACTTGGTTTAACCGCAATGCAGAATCATATATGTGATACCGTTATGCTATTGTTTGTAATTGTTTACGTTTTTGGTGTAATGCTTGCTTAATTTATGTTTACTGATGTTGATTACATTGTCTTGTCCCTGAAGTAACATTCATGTAAGTTTTGATAATTTTATTCTAATATGTGGAAATTACCTATTCGTTTGATGTATGTATTGACTTGCTGTTTGTTACTAACAATTTTCTCCGTGAATGAAGCAATCACGATTCACGGGGGTGGTTTGACTGTAGTCAAAATTGAAGTACGACACCTAATTCCGTGATTGTCTTCGACATCCAACAGTAGGTTCGAAACCCCGAAACCAGGGGCGGACTACCCATTTTGCAGGAGCGAGATTACGCTAATCAAAGCTCTTCAGTTTAGAATCTATGTGCGTTAAATGAGTGGCGATTCAGAAATTTCCACATATCTTGTTTTTAGTCAAATTTGCCTACAAGGCCATGTAATTTTCCATCTTGCTTGTAACCAAAGGACTTTATTGCACCAAAGATGAGTCACATCCTGTACTCTTAACCCTTTCTCAGAATTTAGCTACCTGCTACTACCTGACCCATTGTTCCCAAAAACTTGCTTTTAACCTTGAGTGTAATCAACATTGTATATATGCATTTACTATCTTTATTAACTACTGCTTAAATTTTTACAAAATATTTTGTTAATTAACTTTTAGACTGTTTTAATCAAACTGCAAGGTTTTTCTTCGTCGTACTCTTTTTACCCTTGGCAGTTACTTTTGCGAGAGTACGACACCCTTCTGGCTTTGCTTACTTTGCTTACATTAAGGTGTACATACATCAACTAAATTTCCGGGTTTTCACAATCGCAATAATTACCGATCATTATTAAACAAACTTTTCACAATTTCAGTGTTTTACTTAACGTTTCTTCCCTACTGTGCTTCAGGCAAAGCGTTGTCTACAACTAACGTAAGGGGGCCCTGCCTTAGATGTTTTATCACGTGCCACTTTTCAAATTTAAGCGGGATCTTGTTTAGTGTTGGAGGGAATAATTCGGGTGGCCATTTTTACACGTTGCCGGGTTGACTTTATTTCCGTGTATTTTTTGTAGTATCATATTTCACTTTCAAGGTTACCAAAAGCAACAACCCCATTTTATGCAATGTCACAATTTACTCACAAGGTCATTCAATGTATTTTATTAAAAAAACCCACATTAAATGAACCCATTTTTGGAATAATGTCATGTTTCATTTTCAACCTCATTTTTGCCGTACCTTATTTCACGTTCAAAATCAACGTCACCATTATTTGTGGTGTATATTTCATCTGCAAGCTTATCAAAGTTCAATGACCTACAATTTTTGCTGTGTAGTATTCCATTTGCGAGGTCATCAGATATCAATTGCCCCATTTTTGGACACTGACTTCATGTTTGTCGCATCTTATTTTATTTTCAAGCTATTACCCCATTCTGTGGTGTCATATTTCATTTTCAAGTTCATTAGAAAGCAATGGCCCCATTTTTGTGGTATCATATTCCTTTCTCAAGCATATCATTGCTTGCCAATTTTTGGCAGTGTAATATTTCATTTCATCATCAGCGTCCCTCAACCTACAGGTCACCAAGCCTCAACAACAAACTAAACCACGGAAGCGCATCTTCGACGCTGAGCAAAAGAGGAGAAAGAAGGCCAGACTGGCCCAAGAGGATCAAACTGCCCCAACGGTCACCTTCAAACCATCCACCTCCCGTGACACAACCCTGACCTAGAGGTGGGCTCCTAGAGCTAACTCCGGTCAGGCGAGCAAACGGGTAGGCGGAGCGAAAAAGAGGCAGAGGTTCGATGGCTTAGCAGCCGACCCAACCGCCGAAAAAGAAGGAAAGACCACAGCCCCAACCAAAGGCGGGTGTCGGGTCGGGTGTAGTACCACGAAGTAGCCACTAAGCACCTGCCGAAAGGCAACTCAAGTTAGCTATCATGGATACATCCTAATATACTATAGGTAGGCTAACGGCTAACCAGGCGGATATGGTACAAAATCGCCAGATCAAAGTTTTTTTTACCAACATCTGTTTGCCCTAAAAGGCGCTGCACTAGTGTGTTTCCTGGAAGCATGTGAAAGCCTAAGGCAAGTTGACTTTATATTCATTTTTCGAAGCCAGTATTTGCTATATTTTTTTACGGTTTGCCTACTGTACCTTTTAATATAATCAAAGTAATTTTTCTTATTTCTACCATTGACTTTACACACTATAATAATATATAATATAATAGTGTATAAAGTCAATGTTTCTACCAGCTCTCCAGGACTATGACGGTAGTGTTTTTGGGATACCCTGTACATCAAAGAAAGTGTTGCCCTCTATTATTGGAAATTATAACATTGTCTTCCTAACCTAATTTTTTCTCACACTTTCGTTTTATTTTAAGAATTTAAAATGCAGGTAAATTACTTCTAAAACTTAACTCAATTTTTAACGCACGATTTAGAACCCAAACGATGACACTGAATGGAACGACGTTTTGCGAGCCAAAGGCATCATCCCACCGAAAGAAAAGGAGGTCACCGAAGATGACCTGGTCAATATGCTCGAGCAGACCATTAAAGAGAAACAAGCAACCGGTGGTGAGTTACCCGACTATGTATCGTCCAGCTAACATTACAGTTTAGATGGTAAACACATCACCGACATGAATTTGGACGAGTTAGACGAACTGGAAGATTCGGAGGACGAGGGTATATTACTCGAGTACCGACAGAAACGTATAGCTGAAATGAAGGCGCTCGCCGATCGGTCAAAATTCGGCAGTGTTTTGGAGATATCCGCGCAAGACTACGTGCAGGAGATTAATAAAGCTGGCGAGGGCATCTGGGTCGTTCTTCATCTTTATAAACAAGGGTAATTACTTTCACTTAGGCCAGAAATTAATGATTGTTGCAGGATACCGTTGTGCGCCCTTATAAACCAATTCATGCACAATTTAGCAGCTAAATTCCGCACAGTGAAATTTGTCAAGTCAATTTCGACAACTTGCATACCGAATTACCCAGATAAGAATCTACCGACGATCTTTATCTATTTCGAAGGGGAGATGAAGAAACAGCTTGTGGGGCCTGTCGAACTGCGCGGTCCCAACATGACGCAGGATGGTAATGTGCTTCCGGTCTTTTACACTTAAAATCACTGTTTCACTTGTAGAGTTCGAGTATATGATCGGAAAAGCTGGGGCAGTGCCTACGGACCTTACGGAAGATCCCCGCGTTGCTGTGAAAGATAAACTGTTTTCAGATTTGAAGGATTTGAATAATGATTGGTGACGTTGGGCTGGATGTGTTTCAATGCGTGGTGCTTTTGTATCAGACTCTGGATTTCTTTGCTACCAAATCGTAACTGTGATTTTTACTGCTGTATTATTAACTATATGCAGACCGCAGAGCTGGGCAGAATACTTTCAAAAAGTGTTTGAATACTAAATAGTAAATACTTTACACAAATCAAATGTATTTGTATACTAAATACTTTTACGTCCAGTACAAGCGAATACTAGATACAGATACATTGAAAAGTATTCAAATACTTAAAAAAATAAGTATTCAAATACTTTAGAATGTATTCGAATACTTTCAAAGGTATTCGAATACAGTAAAAAGTATTCAAATACTTGTCACTCAAATACATTAAAAATTTAAAATAGTATACTAGATAAAAGGCTTAATACTACTTAAAAAATCAAGTTATACTTTGTATGGGGTTAGCTTTTTTTATATTTCTATTGTTATATACAAATTTAAGGGGAGTAAAAGCGTATTATTATTATTATATTATTATATAGGAGGTACCTACCAGGAGCTTTCTGATACCAGTTATATCCTTAAGAATACGTGTACCAGTTTTCAAAGCGTCGTGCACATGATACGTACGCCTTTCTGAAATTAATTCTAGCGATTTTGGAACAGATCCATTTTTGACCATCCGTTTGTCCGTGTGCATGATAACTTGTTTAGAAAAGTGCGATCGCTTTGAAAATTGGTACATATGGTCTTAAGGATATAAGAAAGGTCCCTATTGTTTTTAAGTTACGTAGACTATCGAGTTCGGTATTCAGATGTATCGGATTTTTATATTTGATTTTGTGACAATGGAAACTTTCCCTAAACATTTCTAAATTGTTCTCAAATATTTGAATAACTTAAAAGTACTGCCTTTTTTTGAGGCCGGAAAAAAAATTGTCTGAGATCGAGATCGATCGAGAGTCCATAATTTCAAACAGTTTGAAGATTGGGCTACTAGATCAAAAGTTACAGCCCTTTGAATTTTTTTTCGAAATTTGTTTTTTGTCCATAACTTTTGATTGAGAAGTCTGATCGAAAAAGTACGAATTGTTTTGGATTCTACGCACCAAAATTAATAAGAAAAAGTGTTTTCCCGAGAAATTTTGGTGCAGTCGATTTTTTGGTAAAAAAAGAAGGTTATACACTGCCTTTTTTTGAACCCCGAAAAAAAAATTGTCTCCGATCGACCCGGAAAAAATTTTTCTTATAGAATGTGGCCTGTAGAATCTATAATTTCAAACAGTTCCAAGATTGGGCTACTAGTTCAAAAGTTACAGCCCTTTGAATTTTCTTTCGAAATTGGTTTCTAGTCTATAACTTTTGATTGAGAAGTCTGATCGAAAAAGTACGAATTGTTTTGGATTCTACGCACCAAAATTAATAAGAAAAAGTGTTTTCCCGAGAAATTTTGGTTCAGTCGATTTTTTGGTAAAAAAAGGAAGATTAAGTATTCATATACTATGCAAAGTATTCGAATACTTTACGAAGTATCCAAATACTTTGCGAAGTATTCGAATACTAAATATTTGTGAAAGTACAAATATTGCTTCCATAAAAGTATTTAATTACAAAGTATTTGAATACTTTAAAGGATTTGAATACTAAAAAGTATTTACAAAATCGAATACTGCCCAGCTCTGGCAGACCGTCATACATTTCAGGAGAAATGATAGGAAATTGATTACTAAATTATGCATTATTACAATAATATGTTATTGAATCTACTTGGTGCTGCCAGACACTTTTTTGGTGTAGTGCTACAATACATTTCTGTTGTGTGGTCGTTTATAAAGACTATTTACAAACCTTTCGGTGTTGAAGCTTTTTTCATTTATGTCACTTAATGTTTGTTGCTATGTATTATTTTATTTATATTGTAATGTTTTATAAACACTTTGTTCATTATAAATAAGAATTTATTAAAAATGAACAAATTGAATTATGCTTACTTGTTAACCTGATTCAGTCTTCCCAGAGGTCCAGAATCTGCTTGGCTGTCGGTAAGCAATATTGGTCTTTTGTTCTTCTTTTCTGCGTCGTTTGATTTCTATAACGCATTGCCATCTCAATAGCTTTAGGGAGGCTGTCTCCAGAATCTAGGTAACAAGAGCTAAAATTGTTATCTTAATTGGCTTTTTCTGATCAAACCAGAGAGTAAACATGTTATGAGATCATTTAAAAACCGTGGAAAATGGAACTTGAAATTTGGTTTGATTATTGGGTTTTTCCCTCCGGTTACCGTCGACCTCTTTGATTTTTATTTTTAGCAATGGCACCTCCCGTTGATCTTGGGCCCCCACTGTGGAATCCGATCCCGAACGTATCCCCGATGATGAACCAGTTACCGCTGTTTTTGCTACTGACGTCCGGGTTACATTTGGAGGGAATACCGATCCAATTTCCTTCTTAGAACGTCTGGATGAGGTTAGAAAACGGACCTCTTAAAAAAAAGTTGCCGCGGTTTTAATGGCTCCAGTGGTTGGTGACTTCCAGACAGGCGAGTCTCTGAATCTTTCCTAGGTGCTTCCTGTAGGTTGCCCTGTGCATGGGAGGCCACCATACAGTATATTATAGGTCTTATCACTATATAGTGTAAAGCCAATATACGCGTCGAGGGTTTCAAGCCCCATATACAACCAAAAGCCCTCCTACATGCAGTGGCCTTTTTCGCTCAATGTGCCCTTTCCAAATCAGGCGGGAGTCTACGATACCTCCCAAATATTTCACCCCAAAATAAAACAAGTTTCATAATTTATTTAATAAATTTACTTAAGCGTAATACAAACAATTGCCAGCAAATACTTTTCAATTCATTAAACAGGTGCGGCACACCAAGACTGCTCACGCGCACCTTCGTAACAATACCACCGTGGAAAATATAACCGATAATGGCGCCTCCGTTACTCGACAAGTGTGGGAAGCACACAAACATTCTTTTTAGGGAGAGAGAGTACAAAAAAATGCGATACGTTACGGTCGAAAGACGACCATACTTACTAACCCTAAGACGTACGCAAAGACTAATTTAAAATTGACGCTAATGTGTAAATAGTTGGGAATCTGTGTCATTTCTTGCTTCTCCTCCTTAGTCGGTAATAGTAGAGCGAAAATGCTGACGATGCCGGCAAGTATCGCGAGGTAATTTGCAGTGTAGGTGGTACCCAATCTGGAAGAGTACGCATCAATTTAAAAGTAAATTATAAACCCTGTTAGTGGTACCTTTGGTTGCTTTGCATAGTATACTGATATTGCATGGGTGGCGGTCGATCGGCACGATCCGCCTGTGGCAGACTGACAAAGTTGTCGCCGTCATTAGAGTTATTATCAGGCTCGGTCTGCAGCAGTTTCGCCTCGATGTCGCGCTTGCCTAATACTTTTCTGGTCGAGTGGTCCTGCATGGTGATACGAAATTTGTCGGTTATACTACAATTGGCGACTATGGGAAATGTGTGTCGTACGACGATATCGACGCACGCCTGCGGGCCGATACTGCCGTCGGGGTCGATCACAGTGTACTTGTTCGGGGCAGTGCATAATACTGAAAGCGGAAATGGGTGATAATTGATATCCCAAGATACACCTACCTTTGAATCGTACAGGAAAGTCGTACGGGTTGTAGAGTGTTAGTAGCTGTTTGTGTGTATGACGTGCATTTAAATAGAAATTTAAGGTTGTTGGAAACACGAAAACTGGTATTTTGCGTATATTTTGATCCATTTTCTTTGTTGCTGAAGGTGAATATTTACATTTAATTCATAATATGTGCATTCAGTTCTCACTGTTCACTTATACAAAGCGTTGCATATACAAAACGTCATTATCTATACAGCTTCAAAAATGGATGCAATGAGAGCAACGTTGCCATTATAGGAACTATGGGAGTTCATAATAACACATTTATTAATTCAAACGAAATACGTACATAATAACATAACATAAAAATAATACACGCGTACGTAACAAATTAATTTTCAGTATTTTTTCTAACCACTACACTCGGCCATTTTTTGATAGTTTTTACTGGTTACAGGCGACGAGACGAGACCTGTACGGCCCTCGGGCATACAAACACTCCAGGACATGCAATTTTTTATTGTGACAAGTGGGAAAGGCGTAGATGAACGCTGAGAATGGAGTTGGCGGCCACACACCCGCACGCACGCTACACGCGTCGAAGTAATTTCAAAGCTTAGAGGTCAATGAGGGCCTCCTCAAATGGTTCACGGAGGTCGTACCGTACTCGTCCATCACCTTTTTAAACGACACTGTGCTCACGATGTAAATCCAGCGCTCACAGAAATATTTCAACGTCTTATATACTTTGTTTTATAGGTACTTAAAACTTGTGTCAGGAGAATATAATGTCCGAGCAGGTGATTGAAAGTTAACCCCCAGGTTCTACGCTAACTTCACACTACAAGAACACGGAAATAAAGTCAACCCGGCAACGTTTAAAAACAGGCCACCCGAATGACTACTCCCTCCAAAACTAAACAAGATCCAGCTTAAATTTGAAAAGTGGCACTTGATAAAACATCTAAGGCAGAGCCCCCTTACGTTAGTTGTAGACAACGCTTTGACCTGAAGCACAGTAGGGAAGGGACGTTAAATAAAACACTGAAATTGTGAAAAGTTTGCTTAATAATGATCGTAATTATTAAGATTGTGAAAGCCCGGAAATTTAGTTGATGTACATTAATATAAACAAAGCAAGCGATTCTGCACTGCGGTTAAACCAAGTAAATTTCAAAAACAAAGATTCAAACACACTACAATAAAATGCGGCCTACAAAACACAAATACGATATAAAGATGAAATGCAAAAATTACTACCTGCATTAAATAACACAAAATAACAACAAACGTTTATGGAGCGACGCGTTCACTACCGCCATTCAAGACAAGATGCCAAACGTTAGGTTAGGTTAGAGTGATAGCTAGTTTAGGTCAAATTAGCATGTGCTCGTTGATGCCGTGCAGATTCGTTTTTATATCGCAGTTGTAGAACTTCGCGTTTAGCCTGGATTTGATAATCGGGCTATCGAGTTATCCGTAACCCACAGCGCACCTGGGGGTACGCCATGGGGAGGTAAGTGCGCGGCTTACACTAACTGACGGTCGCTTTGTAGTGTTGCTGTTTGTTGCTAGGGCGCGCTAAGCCTAGGATGGGCGATGGTTTGAGTCGCCTTGGTTGGGATCGCTTGATTTTGATTCTCGTGTCACTGCCTATGTTGAAGAGTCACTCGTTGATGCGCGCGAGCGGTGGGACTGTTGGCAGCGGAGAAAAAAAGATCCAGTCTCAGAAACCGCTTTAAAGAGTAAGGATACTTAAAAAAAAACTTTTCCAGCTCCACTGACCCTTCTGGTGGGAGGTTCGCTATGGCGTTGGATGGACGAGTCGATGTTTACATTTTTGAAATCAGAAAAAAATCCTCCATCAAATGACACAAAAAATAAAAATTGCTTCCATAAGAAAAAACAATGATGGTTGACTGGAGACGAAACGTTAAACTTTTTAAAAGTAGCATCTTGTAGAGGGACAAAAGTGGCCATAATATTGTATCAATGATTTCGAAATATCTTTTTAAATAACTTCAGTAAAAAGTTCTCTTGCAGTTCCCGAAATCCCCATGGTGGCCCTCGAATTTAAATCACCCTGTATGTCACTAAAAATCACCAAAACTAAATTTAAAAACAAAAATTAATTGCATACATTTACACAAACAATTTTAAAATCACACACACAAGACTCTAAATTTACTGGGTTCGTAAACACACGTCAATCTAACCATAACAATTTTAATGTTCATCAAACTGCACAGACGAAAAAGAAGATAATAAAAGCAATGTTAGCATTAAAAGACTTGCATCATTTTCACGTCATACGGACTTCTTTTTAGCGTATTTTCCTCAAAGTGAAAAATCGCTATTGGCTGCACTTTGACTTATGACTTTGACGTCCGTCCGCCCGTCCGTCTGTCCGTCACACGTACTCCTTCTAAACCACTGAACCGATTCCAAGGATTCCGTGCATACCCATATTTTTTGGTTTTGCGCATGCGCAGTGTCAAAAATTTGGTTTAACGCATGTGCGATGCTAACTTTTTTATTTATGAAGATATTTAAATGAAACTTTATATGTAAACACTACGAATATATGTAAAATTAACGACATTTTCAAAATTTTGTTTTGCGCATGCTCAATGCCAACTTTCTTATTTATGAAGGCTGAAATTTTATACATAGGCATTTGGTATAAAGACAAATCTAACACCAGTTGCAAAATTTGGTTTTGCGCATGCGCATTGCCATCCTCCTTATTTACTGAAGCATTTAAATGAAATTTAATACATAGGCACTTGAAATACAAGCAAAGCTAACACCAGTTTCAAAATTTGGTTTTGCGCATGCGCAATGGCAACTTTCTTATTTCATAATGTAGGCACCTTGCATGAAACTAAAACTAATACCGGTTTCAAAATTACTGTTAACGCATGCTGTATGTTTTATTTACGAAGGTATCCAATGAAATTTCTAATGTAGACAATGCCCAATGCTATTTACGAAAGCATTTATAAAAAGTTCCGTGTGTTTGTATACGCTCCACTATTTTTCATTAAACTGTAAGACTTCGATGACAGGCGGCTCATTTGAAAGAGAATGGAGTAAGGATCTCGTGCCTATCGGTATTTTTTCCTGGTCCTAGCATTAATATTATTAGGAGGATAATACGCTCTCGTCATTTATGTTTGCATAATGGCTTTTTAACTTGTTGTTTAATTCTAACACTCGGTAATTTCTATCTCTTATAATGATTTTCAGTGCACTTAATTACAAAATGAACGATATATGTCGACCTTCAATTTGACTGTATCGATACAACACAAAAAAATTTTTAATTCAAAAAATTAAGACGACGTACATTTCAAAAATTGAGGTTCTTGACCGCAAAAGAACGTCTTTGAGTCACAAGGGACGTTCAGTCCAAAAAAAACCTACCAGCTCTACTTTTATACAAGTGTCTACGCGACCCTACTCCACATTTTTTTTAAAGATTCAAATTTTCGTTGTACATTTACGCAAACAAAATGTTATTAATGATTTACTTGAAACCCAGATTTCCTTTCTATACGAAAATAAAACCTAACGAATCATTTCTAAAAGATAAAAAATTCGATACAAACACAACATAACATTTTACAATGTCTTATCACTTTAAATAAAAACAATAATTTGGATTTTGTTATCTAATCCAAAACGAACCATCCATAGTGTAATCAGTATTTTTGATGAGCGTACGCTAGTTACGTCAACTAAAATTATTATGCGTGGTATCCCAGCAATACACGTCGTTATTTTAATAGAGAATCATAGACTACGTACATAAACCGTACGGTGCTACGTGCTATTACATTCCACGTAGACATAGGGCCTTCGATTCTAAACTCTCCTTACAAATTCTGGTCTTCAAAAAATACGCAAAGAGAACGTCTTGGCATATCAATTGGATAGAAATATGAATACCATTACCACCCGTTTCCGGGAGAGGTATCTTATTCCACGTGTGCAACTTGTTATTTCATGTATAGTGGAACAAGAAGCTGAAAGTGACAGAAAATCGTTGCCGAATGTACGCAACCATTTTCTCCTTGAGACGATGTTTAAAAAGGGTCGACCCTTCCAAAGATAAAAAAGGTAGCTTATGGACGACACAAATGTCAATAAACTTTTTTCCACAAAACCCTACGAAGTTCGACGGCGCGTGACCCGTCAATAATTGAACATTCGCGTTTGCAAACACCGCAATTGCAATCACTCAATTGCCACCGCAAAAGACAAAAGGGCCCCAGCAACTCGTTTCGTGAGGTTTTTGGTCGCAGAAATCGATAGTGAACTAAGTTTGAGGTTGTTGTGCCTGGATATCCAGGTTAACAGTCTCGGGACAATTTTCCATCCTAATCCCTTCAATGGAAATCGCCGCCAAATATCGCCACCATTTTTATCGCCGAATTACGAATTTCGCCAGTAGAATTAACGATTACGGTTCTGCGAGGTCCTAAAATGAAGTAGCGGCCTGCGCTCAGTCAGTCGCTATTAAAGCTCGAGCAAGCTCGCAGCCTCATAAAAGCTCACCTGCTGAAAACCCCCATAAATTCTCTTCCAATATAACGAGCGTGAACTGTGCGATCGCCGTCGCGGTGGAGTTTCGATTTTAATAATTAAAAATAGCTCGGATTTTTGCAAAGGTGAGAGACCCAATTTTTTCTTGTAGATTACGCACGTTTCTGAGTTTTATGAGGATTTAAGTGGGAGAGCAACAGGCTCTTTGTTTCGCGAAGAGCAGCACCTCTTCCTGAAAGTTTATGACTGAAAGTAACCGTCAAGAGAGGCTGATTAGTTTCAGAATGGATTGTACTTACCTACAAAGTTTCCTTTTCTTTTACTTGGTCGCGTGCTTTCACGTGATTTATGGGCAATTTCAGCCCGATAAATGAAAAATGCACTCACGTCATGTTTACGTACCGTATACGTCATAATTTGTACTTTATTAGTAACCACGTTGCGTAATAATCTTCTCACGGCCTGTCGATTTCGTGTGAAGGAAAGAAAATGCGCCCTTTTCGGAAACTATCATTTATCAGGGATGACAATGCTTTAGATCGATTCCGTAGGAAGAATAATGGAAACAGCGGTTTTCTTACTCTCCACGTATGCATTTCCATTTATACAACACAAACGAAATTTTTGAATTTGTAGACCATGGAGCGAAAGACCAATTTTCCCGAAACGCTTGCCCAAAATTGTCG